GGACATTCGTATAGGTAATGTTTCAAAGAAACTTTGTGGTATGCAGTGTGTTGTTTGTCATCCAAGACCTGAGGTGTTATTTTAGGGTCCATCGCTTCAAAAGGAGTAAAATGCTTTTAGGCTTAGAGGAATTGCGTTCCCAATTGCCTGTTCTCTGCTTTTTCGTGTTCTTCTTTTCCAATATAACTGGGTATATAGATGTTTTTAACAGAATTACCTACTGAGTGTCTAGTTATTGTCTACTGGTCTACTCAGAGGAGTATTTTCAGAACCACTCACACCGGTTGAAAGGGACGGAATGATATTGTGATTAAGCTCCTGAACCACGACAAGGTGCCTGCCAACCGTAGGATATATAGTATGGATAATATAGTGCCTATACCAGCTGTTTCAATATTCAAAGTAAGTTCTCACAGAAGTTTTTCCTTTTATGTTGCCCATAATTTCGGCGTGAAAGACTGAACTGTAGTCATTAAGTTTCAAATCTAATATCTTCAAGAATAATATCTCCTCTTGTTTCCTATTTATATATAGAAGTTCGATCACAGCCTCGTTGGTCCATTCTTCTCTACTAAGGTATGAACACGCTATTTTTGTTTCCTCATGCATATCCTTCTTCAGTGGCATTACCAATTTAGCCCGACTTCAATAACAAGATTGATTAATGGTAAAAAAATGGAATATATTATGTTATTACTATCGTAGTACACACACACACTCTGTATATAGAAATAGAATACCTAATAATAATTATTTTAAATGAAATTTCGTTAAAAAACTGCTCACATTCGCTCTTTGATTTTAATATCGCTCATGAGATATTGCTCTTTGATTTGAACCTTTTGTGGACTATTTTTAGCATGTTATAGTTAATACTAGTCCTTCACAAATGTTTCACCAAAACCTTTTAAACATAACATTGAATTTGGAAGCATATGTATATATACGTATCTAGATACTTATAAAACTATGTATACACTATATATTCTATACTAATTCATGTATCTCTATATATAGTATATTTAAAACTCTCCACAGCACGTCTTTATATTATTCACTATTATATGTACGAATATATAATACGGCGATTAAGTATGCATGAGTGCTTTTGTATTAATTTTCATATTTAACAATACTTTAATTATACTTAATGTAAGAGTACTTGAAATATACATTTTAATTAATGTGATAATTGTTGTTTTTTTTTTTTTACACAGAATGATATGTTAATGCAATTCGGAACTATCGATGTATGTATGTATGAGTTTATACGATTTATCGCGTTGTTAATTTATTAATTTTTTGATTACTAGAATGAATAAATTTGTGGTTTCCCAATATTTACAAGGATTTCCGAATAGTCAAATAGGTATGTGTTTTAGGGCCGAGAACCGAACGAATCATTTATTTTGTACACTCTTCGTTATGGGACTTTTATTATATTTAAATTTTCGAAAAGAAATACTAAAATTTTATTAAAAAAAACATATTCCTCATATATCCAATAGTTATACGAACAAAATTACGTTGTCATAGAATATAGAATACGAAGAGGCCACATAGAAAAATGATCATATGGCGTTTGAATTGCAAACAGAGCGTTATGGGGTACAAAAAATTCAATGTTATTAAAGGTGAACGTTGTAAACATTTTGCCAAATCCTTTGAAATTTTTTTTAAAGTAATTTTGACGAAATATTTATATGAGCGGGTATACATCTGGTCCCTCCCCTAATAAAATGCTAATTTACAAAATCGGTGATTGAGCGATCCACTTGAAATGATTTCTCATAGAAACTGTTGGATAGTTAACTGGTAATTTCACTGATAGGTAGCATGGATACCCAAATGTTTCAATTATGAACTGCTAGATTAACTGATAGGTTTTTTCATACTCAAAAGTTTCAATTAGAAATGTCAATTAGGTTTTAAGGAGCTAATAGAAACTTTTTTCTAAGTAAATCTGGTAGCGCTATTGGGTAACTAACCGGTAACTTAGTCGATGTATGGCTGCCAGTGTATAATTTGTACATGTGTTATTTTCCATGGTATCCAAAATTATTGCTCGTTCAGATTTGATTTTTTGCATAATTAAAATTATAACAATGTATATTTCTTAAAAAAAAAAATTAAGTTATTATGCTTAATATTTGTGTGTGTTTGTATATGTTTTATTCTGATTTGCTTATAAATTAAGTTCGTTCTAATTATGCGTTGTCTCGTTGCTGTATTTGTGCATAATTATCATGTCATTTGCATGGCTATTTACATATATTTATGATGATTATATTTACATTGACTTTGTGATTTTGTAGGCTAGTGGCAAAAGAACACTCGCTGAAATAATAAATTGTGTAAGCCTGTAGGCCAAAAAACTGTAGGACTTTTTAAATTAAATTTCACGTCGAAATGCATTCAACAGATTCTAAAGCACATTAGGCGATTTTTACGAAACTATTTAACAAAGAAGTTCGATAAAATTTGCGTGCGGAACCAAAGGTTCAGAATGTTGGAAAAAACAGAGCTGATAGCACTGATATTCAGATAATTTGTGACATGAAAATTCTTACGTGTTTCTTATGCAGTTTGATACCCGGAAGTCAAATCTGAAAACTGAATTTTTCTATCACCCACAGATATTCTATAACCTGCAGCTTAAGATTTAACAATACTAGAAGTGAATTCTTCGATTTTTACCATGTCCGAATTTATTGAACAAAAAAGGGCAATAATGCACCATCTCATGCTGCATGGGTTATTCGTGATCATTTCGCCACATTTTCAACTAATATCGTGCCGCAACCACCGAATTCGCCTGATTTACCTTCGTATAACTTCTGGGTATTCAGCCATTTCACATAACCACTCCGTGCTGTGGCCAGTACGTCAGGCGCTCACTACGGGTCAAAAAAATGTTACCAGCGAACCTCTAATTGATTCCATTTTAAATTGGGTTTAATGAAGAATATTGTTAAGGCAATGGGCAGAAATGGAAGATGCTTCTTGTATATAAAACAAAAACTTCCAAGACTCAGTGAATAAAAATTAAAGAGGGCAAATTTGTGGCTCCGAAAATAAGAGAAATAATGAAAGATCAAACATTTGAAGAAGTGCTCAATGAAACTGAAATACGAGATTGGAGTGCCTTTAAAAGTGTTGTTAAAAATTTTGTTGGAAATGTGGAAGTTAACAATTACAAAGATCTTGTGACAGAACTACTTACTGCCTATAAAAATATGGGTTGCAACATGTGCCTTAAAATTCACTTTCTGGACTTCCATTTGGATTTTCCCCCGAAAATTTAAGGGCCGTAAATGACGATCATGGTTAACGGTTCCACCAAGACATTTCTGTTGTGTTGAAACGGTACCAAGGCAAGTGGAGTGCCAGTGTGCTTGCCGTTTACTGCTTACATTTACATTGACAGTAATATTTTAAGGTACTCTTTGGTTAATAAAAGAATATAACAATAATATATCTATCGCTGTTTTTTTTTTTTAACAAAAATCCTCAAAACAAAATAACTATAGGTGATAGAAGAAATCTGTAGCTATTTTCTGCATTTGTGGCAATTTTTACATAATAAACAAGAAATTGTTGTTTGAGTTCGACTAACTATTAACAGTCAGAGATCTTACTGGCATCGTTGGAATATTGGAAGGATCAGTGAAAACCATTATGAAAGATCATTTAGATGTCAACTTTTTTCGAAAAACAGCGTCGCGTTATCGTGTGTGAAACAATACTTTGCGTTTGCCAGGATTTCATGAATGTAGTACTAGCGATGAGTCTTGGATATATTGTTGCAATCCGGAAACAGACGATCAATCGGCCGAACATCGTGACAAAAGTGAGCCGAAACCGAAAAAATACATCAAAGTTGGTTAAAAATAAAGTTTATGTTGACAGGCTTCTTCGATTCGGTGTGACCGGCCAAACTGTCAACTTGGAATACTATTTGAGTGTTATGTGTTGTTTACGTCAAGCTTAAAAGAGGCCGGAATCATTGATATTGCATCGTCGCCTATTTGATTCGTCGTGTGCTTTTCGCCAAATTTTCAACCAACATCGTGCCGCAGCCACCGTATTCGCCTGATTTAGCACCGTGTTACTTTTGGCTATTCAGCAAACTCTAATGACCGCTCCTGAGGAAACCATTTTGAGTGAATTGAAGACATTAAACGTGAAACGTTACGCGCACTGAAGGCTTTTCTCAAAACTTTTTCGAGAATTGGAAAAAAGTTGTCACTAGTGCGTTAAGACCAATGCGTATTTCTTTAAGGGTAACGACATAGATTTGGAAGAATAATTTAGAATCTTTAAAATTATGAACAAAGTCTTACTATTTTTTGCTCATCGGCCTCAAAATAAACAATCGTTACTAAATTCTCTTGAAATATCAACAAACAAAATAGCATATATTTTTGACTGCTGAGTTGTTGCCAGTCATTTTACATAACTGTAAAGAAAGCGTTTTCGAACTGAGTGTGCTCTTGTCACTCGCTTGCAAAACAAAATCGTTATTTAGTCATATATTTGTGTTACTTATATTTAATTGATATTATGTTTATTTTTTCGCGCCATTTACTTTACCATACGTATATTACTTCTACTTACTTTTTTTGTTAAATTGCATTTACCTAACTAACTATAATACAATAGATCTGACTCGAAATTTTTCCTTTTGCTTTGGCTACTATGCAAGTGGGCAACCAAAATTTCAAAAAAAAAAAAAAGTAATTCATTTACAAATACTTCGGCTGGCAAAGTTAAATTTTACTTACATACATACAGACTAAATGTTGACTTTTACGCTTAAATACGCTTACGTAAAGTGCAACTAGTTGGAAGATAAATGCCGCATGAATCGCAAGTTTAATTTAATATCCTTTGTTGTTGTTATTATTTTTTGTAATTGTTTTCCTTTTTTATAAGAATTATAATATTGTACAATATATCAGTATTAGAACTGTTTCTTTTTCTTTTTCTGTTTTGCTTTATTTTCCTAATCTTATGCTTGTATATGTATGTATGTATGTTTGATGTCTACTGCTTGTTGCCTTGCTGCTTTGCTTATTTATGCTAGACCATTTTACAGTTCACTTTGTATCTCTTTCTTAATGCACTTGTGCTTAATTGTAATATTTGCCTAGAATTAATTATTCTTTAAATCACTAAATCGCGCTTAGTTACTAGTTTTAATATCTTTTGCTTGTGTTGCAGTTTGGAAGCTGCACGCTCTCCGCCTTCATCTCTCTCTCTCTTTACATCTCTCTTTATATCACTCTAGCTCTCGCTCTCTACTCAGCTGGCACTATTTTCTGATCCAGATCGGGTTTCGTATCGTCCGGATCTAAACTTAAGCAATCGGCAAAGTAGTGCTCCATTGAGAGATATACATGTTCGAGCACTCCGGACAGCTCGTGACCTTCGTCCGCGTATGTCTTGAAAATAATATAAAAAAACACATTTACAATTTCAACTTTATTACTTTTGTTGTCTTGTACCTACCTGATATCTGTACAAGATGTTGGCGTCCGTTAGCGATTTGGCCAACTGTATGCCGTGTATGTAGGGTGCAGTTGAATCGGCTAAGCCGTGTATTAGGAAGAATGAGTGTGATTTGATGAGACGCGCACGCTGCGTTGCATCGGCTTCGACATAGCCTTTGTAGTTCTCCGCCGGCAGGCCTAATATGCGTTCTGTGAAAGCGGAATCTGTGGGTAAAATAATTTGTTGAGAAAATGGTATTCAATAGGAGGATTATGTTGAAAACTACAAGTTGACTTTGAGTAGCGCTCAGATTTAAAATATTATTTATGCTGAAATATAAGACTACAGCTGTCATCCGACAACGTGGTCAACATTGGAACCCCATGCAATGTCTATACGACGATCTGAATAGTAGCATGGAAGGGAAACTTAATACTCGATAGTACGATCTACCTAGGGGCAAAACTGCAAAAGTCATGTGTAAAATGTTAGATCGGAAATATGTAAAGTTCCTACTGGTACTCCACAGAAGAGACTGTAGGAACATGACGGAAATAGTGACTGATTAAAGTCTGGTGGCGCCTGCGGAAAACGGAAGTAGCAGAACAACAGAGAAACAAAAGAACTTCTCTGTGCACCTGTGAAACATTAGCAAAGCTACACTTTAATCATTTGGGGGCTCCACCGTATCAGATACTGGAAGAGGTATCGATTGTGAGCCCACAGAATCTATTGAAATTAGCGTCAAGCACAGGCATCCTAAAGGATGACTACTCCCCATAGACTTCGTAACGGAAGTCCATCTGGTGGCGCTACCAGACTAACCTTACCTCACCTAAAAGACTTCATCTGAATTCTATCTCGGTTAGCTGTCACACATTCAATGAAAGGAAAGCCCGCTTAAGAACTCTCATGGACTTACATATGACACTTAAGGATTTTTCCGAACATTATGATGATCATTTTGACTGTCTTTAATAGTTCTTCTTCTTCTTTATTGGCGTAGACACCACTTACGCGATTGTAGCCGAGTTAACAACAGCGCGCCAGTCGTTTCTTCTTTTCGCTACGTGGCCCCAATTGGATATTCCAAGCGAAGGCAGGTTCTCTCCACCTGGTCCTTCCCACGGAGTGGAGGTCTTCCTCTTCCCCTGCTTCCTCCTGCGGGAAGAATACTTTTAGAACTGGAGTGCCGAATGAGATAATCGCCTCTCGTTTGGTATCGAACGGCTCGGAGAGGTCCTTCCGATCTTGATTGAGCTTTTGGTATTGCTCAACGTCAGTTTATTAGTTTTACGGGGATAAAAAATTCAGACATCGCGGCACAAAGGCAGCTCATTTTCGTGCTGTCGAAAGCAGCTTTGAAATCGTCGAATAGGTGGCGTGTGTCGATCTTCCTTTCACGGGTCTTTTCGAAAATTTTGCACATGGTGAATATCTGGTGGATTGTTGATTTGCCAGGTCTAAAGGCACACTGATAAAGTCCAATCATTTTGTTGACGATGGGCTTTCATCTTTCACACAATACGCTTGATAGAACCTTATATTATATATTCGCAAAGGTTATTAAAACTTTCATAGCAAAACCATACTAGCCGGAATCGGAGAGGTAAATTTCTCTACATTACATTCCCATAGCTATGCACTTTCTAACTGTGCCTTAACAGAACTTACCGCTAGATGATTTCAGAAGAAAGGACTGAAAACCGCGTAAGCGGTGTCTATGCCAATAAAAAAAATCATTACTGACAACTCATTTCCGATCACTAAGAACTCGGTAAACTTAAAATTTTTGCCCAATTCATATTTTCGAAGTTATCATGAGTGGTGTGAGATGAGCTTATCTCTCGCTTCCTTATTAATCACTCTTCCTTATTAATTGTTTCACTTCTCTGTGAAGTCGTATACTCTGGCGATTCTTCAGCCATCATGCTACTGAAGCTTATAATGAGTTCAGAACATTTCCTCGACACATGAATCTCTTTCGTTTTCAGAATTCATAATATGTTTGGGGTCAGCCATTATAACTCATTGGGTCGGACCATCAATATAACTACCTTATTACACAAAGCATTACTTACTGTAGTAGAGCCAGTCGGCGATTGGCGATATGGCTATGCCACATTTATACACATCCTGTTGTGTGCCGAGCACCATTGAAGTTACGTAACCTCCGTAGCCCCAACCCCAAATACCCACACGTGTTTCATCTAAAAAACTAATTGTATCCAAAAGATATCTGCAATTAAAAATAAATAAATGAAGTGTTTCAAATTTGAAACCAATCGAGTGCAAGCAAACCTTAAAACAGAAATCTGATCTTGTACTTCGACGCCGCCTAAGTGTCGGTACAGTTGCTTTTTACTTTGGCCCTTCGCGCCACGAACATCTAAGCGTATGTAAATGACATCGTTACGTGATGACATATAGGTGCCCCAGTCGATTTGAAATTTCTCCGAAACAGACTCGGAACCTGGGCGGCCATTGCTGTGCGAATACAAGTAATAATATGTTGAAACCTAAAATTTGCTCAAAAACTCTACACACTTACACTTCGACCACCACAGGAAAGGCGGCATCCCTAAGCTCTTCACGCCAACTAGGCGGTAGAAGTAATTGCACTTGTGCCCGACTCCCATGTGGCAATGGTATCTCGAATGAACGTTGTGTCGGTAGCGCCAACTTTTGTAGACGCTCCGTAAAGAACGGACGGGTGTCATAAAGTATTTTCACCAAACTATGCGATTTCTGCATATGCACACCGGATACCGGCAGGCCGGGCCCCTGACATTCCAATATGTAAAATTCGATACCATATTGAGTTGCTATGGAAGACACTGGTGTCATGAAGGCATCGAAATGAGAACAATTCACATAGTAGTAACGGCTGCTCCAAAGCGCTTCACCTAAATCGCAGGTAATACACTGTGGCTCAGTTCTGCAAAATATTTTGAAAAAACATTGATACAACAACTCATTTTACAATGATAAAGCGTACGCACTTTCTACTCTCATCGTTGACCGGATCTTTCACCATGTATAAATGCCGCTGGCCGGGTTTTTTGTCTTGTGTACCCAGATAATACACTAAATGATTGACAGTGTCCCAGCAAAGGATTTTTAACACCTGTAAAAAGAAGGAGAAATAAAATTTAATGTATGGAAAAATGTAATATTTTGAAAGGTCTTGTCATGATTTCTTACTTCATAGCGGCCATGTGATATGACGGCAATACGTTGTTGTGTCATTGTGACGTGTTTGATGTGTGTGAAATGCTCATTACCGAATTCTTGTATACTCGCCAATATTAAAAAACTATTGCCGTCGGGCGCGAAAACTGGATGCGGAAGTATATCGAGCCACTCATCTTCGGGAGCACGCTCGGAGTGTATCTGTGAAACAGAAAATTGGCGATAATTACTGGATGAACTTTGTTTCCAACTTGACAGCCTACATATAGTCAAACATAAAAATAAATATGTTATGAGAGCCTCGATTCCAATGTTGGGAAAACGATTATTTTTCTACAGAAGTGTTTCAGCTTATGACTATTTGAAACACTCCTTCCCGTATACAGCGCATATATGGAACTTGTAGTTTAACGATATGGGGTTTTGAACGCTCAATAGATAATACACCGCTCTTTAGTTCGATTTCCTTTTTTCCGAGAACACAGTCCCTAAATGATTCTCTTGAAAAACTTAGTAGGTTAGGTTAGATGACTGACCAAAGATCGCACCTGGACTACTATATGCAGTCCTTTGTGGGGCCACAGACAAATAGAACTCATGTATTCAAACTATAAATTAAAAAAGCACTTAGTGGCCAATACAAATTGCACAGGCGTTTAATTACCATTCCCGCCAGCTCAGAGCGATGTTTGAAGGTATGCGCTCCAAAGTGCTTAAGTCTTGACCTACCAAAAGCGAGGCAGTCAAGAAGTAAGTTGTGAGATTTCCAGCCAGGTCTGGTGAGATTGCCAGCCTTACGCCAATGGACGCCAAAAAGTCAATAAACTAGGGAGATGCTGGCCTTACTTACTGCTATTGAGTAGTAGAACACAAGAGAATACGAGAACCATTCTACCGATAGCGATACCTTTTCTTGCTAGCTCCTCAGCTTTACAGTTTCCTGTGATCCTGCTGTGGCCCGACACCCATATCAGTCTCATCTCAAAGACACTCGATGCTTTTTATAGCGAGGTTAGACACTCTTTGACCAGGCCTGAACGCAGGAGTTCAAGGATCGTATCGCCTGGAAGACGCTCCAATAGTCAGGTAGTTTGAAACTGGATTTGATAAAGAGCTTCTGACAGAAAACTCAACGAGTGATCCACAATTTTAATGGAAAGCCTTACGACTTATCATCGCAGTCTTAGGAAGTTAGTCGCCAAACATTATTCAATTTCAAATTTTGATTAAAGATAACATGATTAGTAAGAAACTCTGAATTAGTGTGCACGAAAATCGTAAATCGTTCTTATAATAATATCCTAATAATTTCTGGTATAAATGAAATTATATTCTAAATCTCTTTGAACTAATGAACTTCATCAGAAACACGAGTTGGCTCAGAACTAATGTCAGTACAGTGCGGAGATTTTAATCACAATGGTAACACAATGGGTCCCCCAAAGTCCTAAGGAGGATATTAGACATCCACTCTACCAATCAATCCATCTACCATACCAATACATACTCCCCTGCTTTTTTATTCGGAAGTAATAAGTAGTTTGACTAATTACCTCGACACAAGTCCAATTTGTATCCGCTAAACAAGTGGTGATTATACTATAATTTTGAGAGCGTGTCATGTAGACAACAGAAACTTGATGATTTAGTTCTGAGATCCAACCAGCCGATGTTATATAAAATTCTCTGAAAGTTGGCAGTACGTAAATATAAATAGCTCTATGTACTTCACTACAATACTCACTGGTCATCCAAGGAAGGGGGCGGTTTCAAAATAAAATATTGTATGTCGGTTAAATTACTAGCATCTACTACCCAAAGTGTGACCTCGGGATTCGGGGAGCCGGGTATGGGATAGCGCACATTTCTGGTTTCAGGAAATGAGGTTTCCGGTGACATACTGCTACCAGCGATAATACTGCCTGACGCCAACCACGGGTATGTCATCATATTCACTTTGCTGTCATTGAAGGAGGCATACATAAAGTGTGTACCGTCTTGAGATGCCCATATCGCTTCGGGTTTTTCGAAAATTTCCTCTATACGTTAAAATCATATTAAAACAAGAACTTTATGTCTGATGTGTCTGATGTTTATGTTAGTACTGTACTCACCCTGATAGAGCCAATCTGGTACGCCATTGTAAATGAAATTTTCATACCCTGTATTTGTGATTCGGATGTCCTCCTCGTCAGTGGGTGATTGTCGTAGATAAATATCGTTGTCGGCAACGATGATCAACGAGGTAGTGTTGCCTAGCCAAGCGGCATATTGTAGACGCGTACGCTGCACTTTCGGTGAATCTTTTAGTTTCACAGGCATATGGTGATCGTTTTCAACGTCGTAAATTGTATAAAATGCGGTAAAGGATTTTTGAAAAATCTAAAAAAAAAAAAACAATATTTCAATTGAGAATTATTTATCTGAGAATACAATGAATCGTAGGGGACTGGATAGATCTCAACAATTAGTTTTAAAAGCTTAATTTGGCATTCAGAAACTTTTCAAATTTCATAATTTAAAAAAAAAGTTCAATCTCGAAAGTTTTCAAAAAGAAGGTGAAAAAGGATCCACTGATTTATTATCAGAAAATACCTATTTGTAAGGGCATAATGTACCAACAAGAGCTTTTAGAAGGTATATATATGTCTACTTCTCAACCCAACTGTATCCTTATCATTCCTATGACTTCGACTTGATACTGTTGCATGTACTCTACATCTCAAACACTCGTTAAAGGGAACCTTCAATTATTTAATATTCGAGCTCAAAATGGATACCAAGAGAAGCTTAAAGTTTTGAAAACCTCACTTAAGGTCAAAAAATAATGTGGAAATTTTCCGTTTTCAGAAGAAAACTTCTTGGAAACTTATAAAAATCTTATGTTAGACTTAAAAAACCCCTAAGTAGGCATCTTGGATTTATAATGTTATAAACATCCATAACCATGGTTGTTGACTGCGTCGCTAATGTTCTGAGATCTCGGGAGTGTTGAACTAATCATGATATGAAGAGCATCAGGGGCATGTATCAGCCTTTTCGTAGTAATACGAGTATAAACAAAATTAGAACTTGGAGAGGGATTGTAACATTTTTCAAAGTCAGAGTAAAAAAGAGATCGTTCCGTTATTTTCATATATGTGTTTTAGTTAATTTCATAAATCAAGGGTGTAAATCTAATAAATACCTTCTTAACATTATGTCTAAATAGAACATATCGCAGATCGTGTGAGCACTGATAACCGCGTACATTTAGCTGACGCAGCGTGTGATTCGTAACGAGCGTGCTAACCGAATTGCTGGTCGTATCCAATATGGCCAGTCCGCCGTCGTCCGACTGGAAGACATACTTACGCGTCGTAACCCAAGCCGGTTGTAGACGTGTGGGCGTCAAATCGCCTTGCAGGTACTCGTCGAGTATCATGCGACGACCCGACCAATAGAGCAATTCATCAACATAACTGCAAGGAGGAGCAGAAAAATAATAATCGGTATCAATGAATGCGTAGATAAGAATATATGTACAGTGGTGAATTGTTGAAAGTGTCACTTACCCTAATAGATATATTGCGGTTATAATTCCGGCTATTACAAAACTAATAACTAACAGTGAAAATATGATACTACGCCAGTTGTGACCTTCATCCAAATCTAAATCATCATTCTTCTGTTTAGGATCTTGTACTTGTAGTGTTTCATCAGGTGGCAGACGCCATGAACCGCCGCCACCACCACGATCTGATGTGACATTAGCATGCATTGCAATTTATCTCTAAGATTGGCAGGAAGCTTTCAATTCAACAGCAGTAAAATACTCGTAATTGCATTGCCAGCGGAAGTTGTAATTTCGAAGACAACGTTGTGGAAGGAAGCACCAAAGCTGAGAAGCACTTTTTACTTAGTTGATTTTTGATAGTGATTATCTTCAATTTATTTATCCAGGGCATCATTTATGTGTACTCCTCTTCGTAGTTTTTGTGGACATCGAAAGGTGAAAAGGGAAGTGGAAGTTCACCTAGAAAAATATGAAAAATTTAGTTTAGTTTATTAAATTTAGTATATTTTCATCAAAGAACTTATAACAGTATATTATAGACCTATGGCAATATTTTCATAATTCGCCAACTCTTAGACTTAAGAGCATGATTTTATGACTTTTTGTAATATTACAATATTACTACTAAAAACAGTCTCACTATAAGTATAACATTCGATAAAAATGTTGTTAAAAATTTTCACGACGAAATATTTAATTACGAGAACGTGTCACGGTAAAGAGATTATCTACGAAACCAAAAAACCAAGGTTCTTTCTTTATATAATAGTTTTCCACAAGTTCTGAGGCAAACTGATATTCAGCAATATTTTAATAGACTTTTATTGGAGATATAGAATTTCCTAAGAGAGGAGCTCTCAAGGTAGACACGTGTATTATATATTCCTGTTTTCGCGAGTTTTTTACTCCACACGGGTATGGTCAAATGAGTGATGGTTTCCTCTGGATGGAAAAATTCCCCTAAAACTTGGTGGCAGGGAGCTTTAGGTGTTTAAAGAGGTCAAATTCCTAGGCATCACATTAGACTCAATTAGCACTGTCCGGACCCACCAAAGCACTAATGATATGCAGACGCTTAGCCGTTACATACTGGGCCTGCCAGCCAGGTATTATCAGGATCGTTAGGCCTATTTGCACTTATGGAGCGGTTACTTGGGCATCGAAGGCAAAGTAGTTTTCGGTAAATCTTCAAATTCGAAGATGCAAAGACTCGATTGGGTTTGAGCTTCAGAAACAACGCGCACTTACCCAAACACAGCACTTGAAGTCATGCTGAAGCTCACACCGCTGCATCTAGTGATCAAACAGGTAGTGAAGCATACCATGCTGCTCATAGCAGCAGGTGGGTATGGGAAAGAGAAGACAATGTGATCTCAGCAAATGAAGGCCTTAGGTGAAGACAAACCTCTGGTTCTTCTTCCAAAAGACTGTGCTACGAAGAGGATAAGCTTCACAAAGACGTTTAAAGTTACTCTCGGCAGTAAGGCGGAGTGGAGTCATTTCACGCACGACCTACTACTGAGGCGCAGCACTAACAGGAAAGTGCCACGCCAAGTTAATATTAGGGGGTTCAAACCTAGCAAGGTTTAGCGTTATGATCAACCTCCCTCCAGTCAAATTTCGTCTCTTTGTCGCGTTCTATATCTTGGACTGCAGGCTCACGAAGCACTTGTCCAACAAGGGCATAGTCTCTTGTGCAAACTGACGGTTTTGCGGCATGTAACCAGATGGCTGAGCAATTTGTAGAAGTAGGCTCAGGGACTTCTACGTTTTCAGCTCCATCATGCCCAGCAAGCTTCTAGAATTGTTCACACTGCTGAGCCTTTGTGACTATATGTGATAGACGTTATAGGACATAGGTCACAGTGCAAATCCACAATTATTTTCTTTCTCTCTGCAATAGGACAGCGCCTAAAACTACGACTTTTTTGGGAGGAATCATATAATTTCAGTTGACAAAAACAAATAAACCGCCAATTAGCCGCTCAAGTCGTGTGATTTGACTACTTTTAAGAGGAGTATCTCAAGTTTATAGTTTTTTACTGATAAAGAAGCTACGACTGGCCAATGTGCGCATGTTATTAGTTTTCATAAAACACAGTCCGAATCGATATAAAATTTCTTCAAACACTAAATTCGGCATAATTCAGCTTTTAGGATAGGGTACGATTTTTGCAAGTCGTGCAAATTTATTACCAAAATAATGGTTAGGTTCGCAGAATGCATCGCTCATTTTACGCCTGGATGGCGTTACTGCTGACATACGACCCCGATTGCTGCAAGAAGTAATCTAAAAATGGACCTAACGGCTGGAATTTAAATATACATTTGTAATCATGAAAAACACTTGTCTAAAATAACATCCCTTATTAAATCATCAATGGGACGAGCTAGCTTGATGTCTATCTACCCATCAGTTTTATATATTACAACAAAAGAATATAATCTGGAATAATATTGTGTTGACCTGAGACTCAAAACTCTAAGAAGTCGTCAATATTTCTTAAATAGTTATTTGCAGACATTTTTATGCCACCCAAAATGTCATTATTGGCAATAGTGCAGTGGATCTAAATACTAATTGAAGGCGTTACTACCGTTTTAAGCATTACGTCTTTGAAGCTTTTCCTACCTTCAATATAATGGCCGCCAACGCTTTTATAGGAATATAGGTACACATATAAAGGGTGCATCCACTATAAGTAAATAGTCTCTCATGGCACCAAAAACCTAACTACAAATATACTAATATATAATATGTATATAGTACATAACACTGTGCAGAAAGGGAACCGTTGTTCCTAAAACTCTGCGCGAGCCCGACAAGCATACGCCACAAAGCAAAGCTCATCCTTGACCGAAACAAAAGAACTCACAGTGCTCTTCAATGGCTATTCATTAGAGATTTTATCATAATTACATAATTTCTAGCCTAATAAACATTTAAGCGCATGCTACTGCTTTGCCATTCGATGATCGGGGTCGTCTGAGAGTTCACTTCATCACTTCATGACGCAACGGCAAAGCACAGCACAGCGCTGAGGCGGTAAACACTACGAACACTACTAAATAGTATGTATGTAATGCAGCAAGCAAGCGATAAGGGCGACCTTACACAACTTGCGGCATATTAGCGCATGCCACTCATCCTCGGATACCATTGCACTCCATGCCGATGTTATGTAATATATGCATACCTTGAATTATATATTTTCTACGGCCTCACAATTGAAAAAGGTGGCAACAAATGATTTCTAATTTTTCATATAAAAATCTTAAAGTCATTGGCGTGGAAATCACCAAGTCATTAAGGCGTCCCACTTATATAAGTGCAGACGAAAGAGTAGGACAAACGATGAGGATAAATGACTGCAGTCGTCATATTCGCTGGCTAAATGAATGCAAAGGTCAGCACATTTGATTGATGATGATTTGATTTTGCACTTCTCACTAATGTAGGTTTGGTATGAACTTAAGAGCGCATTCAGATTCATTTATATACATATGCAAATGTTTTTTAAGGATTTAGGGATACAAACGCGAAGTCAGACAAATTCTGTTCAAAAGAAATATTAAAGGCGAGTAAATTATTATTATGATAGTTAATTATAAATATTTCTTTATATGTACGGCTTAGCTATGATTCTGTTGGGCTGAAATTGTGTGTCCTGCTACAAAACAATGCCTAAGCTCATGGCCTTCCAGACGATAGTGGAATGAAAGTTCCCATGTTCCAGCCTCACAACTTGAAATATATTAGTTGACCTATATCCTATAATTTTTTTTTACCGTAAATTTGACAGATACGAACACTTTCTTGATATTTCGACAAGACACATCAAGAGCCATATTAAATTCTATACCCGGAATATTCTGAATTAAGTTTGCAACTAGCACTCAGAAGGAAACGTCGGAGACCCTAGAAAATATACATTGTAACATAAAAGGATAAATAATATTTCAAAAAAATGTATTTGGGTAAGTTGATAGGACTTAATTACTATGCCAAATATGATTGCGATATTTCGAATGTTTTATCAAGAAACCAAGCCTCCGAGTGGTACAAAGCCTTCAAAGACGGTCGAGAGATCGTTGAAGACATGCCTCGTTCTGGAAGACGGTGGCAGGTCTTCTTCTTCTTCGTCTTTTTCTTATTTTGTTTATACATTGCAACCACTTCAAATAAAAGGAAGGACTAAGAAGCAATTTTAATATGATTTAAACGTAATATTAGGTTGTCAAAAAAGTCTTGCGGCATTTTCGCTAGTTGGCGCTAAGAGCGCGTAGTTCTAGTTTTATTCGTCGCATCGGGTCATGCTAAGCTCATTTCACGCGCTAACACGTGTTTGATTGGTTGTCGTATCTTTTAAGTCGTTCGTGAGTTATAGCGTCGCAAACATGGAGCGAAATAAAGAGAAAATGCGGCATATTTTACAGTACTACCACGATAAAGGCAAAAATGCATCTCAAGCCGCCAATAGAATTTGTGCAGTTTATGCAGCCGATACAATTTCAATTTCCACCGCACAACGATGGTTTTAACGTTTTCGTTCTGGTGTAGCGGTGGTCGAAGATGCGCCACGCTCCGGAAGGCCTGTCGTTGAAAATTGCGATAAAATCGCTGAATTGGTCGAAAGAGATCGGGATAGTAGCAGCCGTAGCATCGGTCAAGAGCTGGGCATAAGTTTAATTATTTTTTTGTTTTTATGAACAATTGAAAATTCAATAAAAATACCGCAAGACTTTTTTGACAACCTATTATTACAAAATTACAAAGCTACTGTTAGAGTATTGGCTAATTTGAAAAATCGCTGGGTTGGAGTCGTTTGAGTCGTCTTGGTGGTTCATTTTTAGAAGTTAACATGGCTACTTCTTCGTTACAGTGATGTAGCAAACTTGCACTATGTGCTGTTGCAATTTTTAATATTTCTGCGTTCTAGGCGTAAAGATCACGCTCTATATCAGCGCATCTACAATACCAAGACGCTTTGACAATTAGGCTTAGTACTTTGTTTTGAAAATGTTGTATGACTTTTTTATTGTTTGCGTTAGTACATCTCCAGAGCTGTGCACCGTAGCTCCATATCGGTCGGAGTATTTGAACGAACCCTCCCCAAAACCGGGCCGAATTGGGGAGTAACTGTGGCCTTACCGCGTCAAGGGACTCTGGCGTGGCGGACCTCCTAGTTCCCCCACAAAAATTTTAGACCCGTCAGCTCACCTGTTGAGCCAAAGGTCTTAAGAACAAGATGAATACAAATAACGAAACAAACTACAACCCAGATAAAAGGCAACAACCTCGGAAAGCGGACCTGGATAATGGAAAGGACATCGGTACCAGCACTGCTCTCTAGCAGCTGCCCTCTGAAATAGAGAGTTCAATAGAGAGGAGCATGGGGAGGTGATGCTYTGCGCTTTCCTAGACATCGAAGGTGCCTTTGATAACACGTCCCACAAGA